GCTCTAGTAAAAAAAATATCAGCTGGGGTAGTGCGAGATTTCTAGCCCTGGCTTCCTGTTGCTGCTCGCCCTGTACCGCGCCGCCCGAGAGATCCGCCGCGGGTTCAGAGGGCTGATGCTCTATTTAAATGAGCTCATTTAAATGAGGAGAAGTCCCTACTACGCTGGGTTTCCTGCTCAGCCCCAACCTGCTTTGTGTCACTAACCTACTGTGTCAATTAATGTGACACACTTAAGCGGGCGGGTCAAAGGGCAGGCGCCGCTGTTGACTCATTTCTTGCTAGGTAGGTTACGGTTAGTAAGACGGCAACTTTTACTTTAGCAAAAGGTCTTGTTTGCAAAATACAGAAAGGGGTTTATGCTGCTGGCTTTCAGGCAGTATTTTGTTGCCTCGCCCCCCCCCATTTTCCTTTTTTTTTTCCCGAGTGAAAAAGAGCAATGGTTCTAGAGGAAGTTTTGCTGTCAAATTGCTTTTCTCAAATTCGGAGAAGTGCCCATGGAGTCTTTTACCTGTGTGTTAGATCTTGGAGAGGTTGCTCCAGATGGGGTGGCGTGTGTCTGGAGGACCTCTTGTTGTTATGCCACATAAATACAGCTCGCAAACCATTAGACACCTAACTTTTTCATAGGTGCGGTTTTTTCGGCTTCTCTTCCTTCCCAATTACTTCCAGCCCTTGCTGCCTGCCTCTCCCTGTTTCCCAAGGTCCTGTTATATTTAAAACCAAAAAAAAACCCCAACCCTCTGAAGTACACTCCTGGTTTCTGACAAACGAGAACGGCGTGCTTGAAAACATTGTCTGAATAGTGTAGGCTAGTTTTAACTAGCTTTTAAATTCAATTTAGAAGGGATGAGCTGCTTTGCAGAGCCATGGTCTTGTCTGTGCAGGATCTTTGTTCCAAGAAGTGCTCCTCGTGGCTCCCGGGAGCCCGTTGTGCGAGGGATGTGCTTGGGTTAGGTAGCAAGTGTGACACCACGTTCCTTCAGGCTGTGGCAAAAATAAAGCAGTTTGCTTGGAATCGTTTTAAAGCAAACTTGGCATACTTTTCGACTTGAATTAAGAACCTGTTTACATAATTTGGAGTTTATCTTGTGTTGGCTATTTAAATATTGTCCTATTGTTCCTGTTCCATAACTGGATAATTTATGTAGCTAATCATGACAGGAAAAATTTGGTATGTCAGTTTGGTGTTTGTCGGTTACATAAATCAGCAATTGGGAGAATGAAAACAATGCTAAGTAAGTTACTGAAGTAACTACGCCAGACAAATTGCAGATTGATCATCCTTCTGGGAATGCTTGCATGTCAAAAATATGCACTGAAATTTGGACAACTTAAGCTAAATTTAAGGATGTTGGAGCTGTTCTTAAATGGGAGAAAGAAAGAACAATTTCACCATGTCGGCTGTGGCTGAAGTTTGAAAGCGTTGGGGAGAGGTCCTCTCCCCCTGCTGCCCCCTCCATCCCCAAGTAGTAAGCAAAACTTGCACACCCACCCCTTTTTCTGTTTTGTTTGTTTGGGGTTTTTTAATGATGCTAATTCATTCTATTTCTTTATTTATGGATATAACTATAGTTTTATACTTTCACAAGCATACTTCTCGTATTAGGGCTGACTTTGTTTCCTTACACAGAATTTTTGAACTATGTGTGGTTGCCCACATAAAAATTTTGCTTTTGACATTTAACTTGTTTTTACTATTAAGGTTTTTAGTTTAGATGTTATGAATGAGCAAGTCGTTCTCACCCCCCCCCCTTAAGTTCAAAACGCAGAAAGATAAAGGGCTTGTTTGCTTTCTGTAGTTTCTAGAAAACGCTTCTGAAAGCCAGTATAACTTGAAATTAGTATTTAATTGTACTAGTTGAAAATGGGTGGTATCTTACTTGGATTTATATATAGTTAGTAAGATTCCTAAAATTTCTGGTTAGCTTAACCTGGTGAGTATTTAAAGCATGGTTTTCTTTGTGTTTTACAGTACTATTTGTTTCCTCAGTGACTTTTCTCTCCTACTAACCAAAGGAGTAGAATTCTAGTCTTAATAACTTTGAGTACTTGTTTGGTGGGGAGGTTTTTTTGTTCTTATTATTTAATTACGTACCATAGCTTCGTGTTACTAGTAGTGTGGCATATATATAAAAGGATAATCAGATTTCGAATTCTGTTTCTTCCTTTGTGTTGAAGGAAAAAGGTATGCAGTTAACTTGTAAATCTGGAGTCTTCGTAGTAAGCATAGCACAGAACACATACTTCCACAGGTTAAAATATGAGATGAAAGCCATGAAGTTGAAAAAATAATCAGGGTGCAAAGTGGTACTTTTAAAACAAACAAACCCGCCCAAACATTAAATGATTGTGATTCTTCAGTACAGAAGTGCAATTCAATTACAGAAGTCCATCTCCTGATAAACTGCTGGACTCTTAGGCACCTGGTTCTCCCCTTTTCCAGGACTTTTTTTTTCCTTCCTAAGTGAAAATCCACTTCGGGGGTGGGGGCAGACACAATTTTTCCCTTTCTTATTTTCTTGTTCCATTAGTTTTTATTAATAGAGCTGGAATGAACTATTATTTATAAAATCTACAAGCTATCTCTCCCAGGAGGGAAGCACTGGCATGTTAAGAAGTAATTAAATAACCCATTGCTTGAGTTGGGTGTTTTAAGGTCTTGCTTATTGACCTTTTGCCCAGCCACTGGATAGTTATCCTTGAAGAAGAGTGGTGGATGCATACCGTAGCAAGCAAATTTGGACAATATTGGCATTAGATTGAAGCTATCTGATAACATGCAGCAGATAAAAGGTTGCCAGGGGAACAAGAAAATGAGGGTTTGCGGAGAAGAATTCCCACAGATCACTGGTGCTACTTTTTGTTCAGCTGACAGGAAAGCTACAGCTTGACAAGTTAACGCTACAGGATAAATCTCCTGTATAGGAGGCTATATACCATGATTCATAGGAAAGACAGTTAATGTAATAAAAAGTGTCTGGACCATAGAATGCTGGAGCTGAGCAGTTTACGGATTTAGGAGGCTGATTGTTCTTGTCTTCTTATGATTGTAGGTGTAATTGCAATATCAGGCAGTGAGACGGAGGATGATGACACTATGGATGTCCCACTGGATCTTTCCTCATCTGCTGGCTCAGGCAAACGGAGGAGACGTGGCAACCTGCCCAAGGAATCCGTGCAGATTCTTCGGGACTGGCTGTATGAGCACCGATACAATGCTTATCCTTCAGAGCAAGAAAAAGCGCTGTTATCCCGACAGACACACCTTTCCACACTACAGGTATTAAAAAAAAAAAAGTAGTTCTCACTTCAAAAGGAGCTGCTTTCTGTTTTCTTCTCATTTACCTGTGGTCTAATCACAGATACAAATGTTTATGCTGCTTGTGACATTTGCTTTTTTATTGTTACTTTCCTTCTGACAGCACTTGTAAGGAGAAATACAAATGAATTGTGTGTTACGATGATCTTTGTTTATTGGGAATCAAATTACTTCTCTGGGAGAAGAGACAGTCACGAATTCAAGCATGCATGCTAATTTTTGTGGAATCGGGGCCCAAAAGACATGAAGTGTCTGTATAAGGCAATTTATTGTGAGAAGAAGGTATTTATTTGTCAACAGAGGTTTTATTGTGATAGATACGCAGCTTAACATACGGCTCTTTGCTTCTAAAACTCCAACTTGAGGCTCATTCCTGTAGAACATGCACATACGTAATTATGCGTATGATGACTTCCAGCAAGATCAGTGGAACAGCCTATATGATGGGATAGAGCTCCTCAAGTGTGTTAGTATAGGTATGATGAGGCTTCTGTATGGTTAGTATGGATTCTCGTCCTGGGATCCTGCTGGCAGCTGCGATGTCCCTTGGGTGCATCATTCTTTTCTTCCATGGTCATTGTCGGTGGCACAGCTACTGACAACTGCTGCTTTCCACCTCGTGGGAGGGTGGCTGCATGAGAACTTGGGTAAACCCTGGTTTGGCTTTGAGAGGTGCTAAATACAGAGTGCTCCTGTTGACTTCTGGGCTTTATTTTTCCAGATTAATTCGTTTGTACAAGTTTCGTAATTGGCTATAAAGTAAAATTTCCTTAATGTAACATCACAAAGAAAACCTCCTTTATGCAGTAAACAGAAAAAAAGACGTTAAACTATAAACTATCCTGTATCGCCCAGGAAACTGGTTTGATATTTAAACAAGGACAAACTTAAATGAGGTAATTCATGTTATGTCTGTCGACACAGTCAGTTGAACAAGGAAAATCAGTAACTATTTGTGGGAGGAGTGGCTCTCTTCAGAGAGAAAAGGTTTTTCCTGTTGTTAATTAACCTAAGCTAGGGAACAATAGCTAATAGGTTAATGTGTGTGCACAGAGTTAAAAGCTAAACTCCTCCATGCTAGCAGTCTTCAGATGTCCCGGGGCTTTCTGTAACAGGAGCGGGGAGCTGGGGGTAGAGCCGGGACAAGGGAAGGGCCTTTGCCAGGCGAGTCAGAACTTGTCACTAGGTCTCTCTTTTGTTCTGCAGTTAAGGAAACTGCTTGGAGGGCTTCATTAATCTAACCCAACGACTCTAATGGCACATAGTTGGAAATGAATGAAGGTAGAAATTAAGATGTCATTATGTTCCCAGGTCTGCAACTGGTTTATCAATGCACGCCGCAGGCTTTTACCTGACATGCTGAGGAAGGATGGCAAAGACCCAAATCAATTCACTATCTCGCGGCGAGGGACCAAGCTTCCCGAGGGCGGCCTGGTGGAGTCTTCCATCAGCACAAAGAACTACATTCCTGGCCTGGAGGAGACTGCCTTCCTTCCCGCTGCCGCGCCGCTCAGCAAGACTGTGCCCTCTTCCAAGCCGGCTTCCCCGGGATCGGTTCTGGCTCGGCCGTCGGTGATTTGCCACACGACTGTGACTGCACTGAAAGACGCCCCTTTCCACTTTTGCCAGCCAGCTGATGTAGGCCAGACCACGGACCTGCAGCAGCCCCCGGCCAACGGCTTCACAGACAACTCCCTCTCCTACCACGAGGACGCGTCTAAACTGGGACCCGGTGCCAACGCACAAAGTGGGCTCTTTAACACTCCTCCCCCAACCCCACCAGACCTTAACCAGGATTTTAGTGGATTCCAGCTACTGGTGGATGTTGCACTCAAAAGGGCGGCAGAGATGGAGTTGCAGGCAAAACTTATGGCCTAAGTCCCCTTCCTTCTCCTTCCCCGTTTTGTTTTTCCAGGCAGGGATCTAACAGCTGTGTGGTTATTGCCACCCACACGATATCAAAAGACTTCACTGCATTATTATTATTTTTTTTTTATTAATCTTATTTGCACAAGGGATTGCTGAAATGAAGCTTCCTGTCACTGAGATGGTCTTCAGTGAAATATGGTCATTCCAAGAATTATAAACTTAAAGCTACTGTAGAAAGAAAGGATTGTGTGTTTGTTTTTTTTTTTTTTTAATGTTTTCTTTGTAGGTTTTTCATAATGTGAGATGGTTCCCAAGATCATGTGATTTGTTTTTGTTTCTTTCAGACTGTGCAATATCTAGTAATGATATAGAGTCTTCTTATCATTCCCATGCGGAACAGAATATACCGACACGCTGTCTAAAATAAATTTTCAATTTTTTTAACAATACGAACTTTGGATGATTATGCCTTTTTCCCATAATGTAATAAAATATTTTCTTTAAAAACAGATGCATACAGAGTCATTTTGTTGAATACAAGCTTTGCAGGAAACACAGCTTTACTCTTGAAATACATGGCAGTGAGAAATACTTTTGAGCTCATACCGACTTCGTTTGGTTTAGAGAGCTACGCTAAGCAGTTGTTGTTAACCAGATGTTTAAAGGAATGCTGCAAAGTGGGCCAGAAGTACCTGACCGTGTCTGCTGTGTTGAAATTTTTTAAAGGGGCCAAAGGGAGCTGTGTTGGCAACTCTCATTACATTTCAGGGGGGATATCTTAGGCCCCTCTAAGAGTTCCAGCTTTTGGCTCCTCGAAATACTTAAGGGCTGGGAGATGCGACAGCCCAGGGGGAAGTTCTCCTGAAGATTAAATGAGGAGGCCAGAAGAGGGGGTGGGGTGGGTGTTCTTTGCTGGTCTTTGTGATACAGCTCCTAGATGTCACTGGTGACAAATTTAGAGGGGGCAGGATAAGGGCTCCCACTCTTCTTGGACTAGCAATGACGAGGTGTTGACTCTGTAATTCTAGTAGACTGAAATAGAAGAGACCATATTAGGTTGAAATTGGAGTTCTGGGAGCCAGGTCTTGGTAAGATACTTAAACAGGTGGTTGACTAAGATTTAGAAGAGAATCCCCGTTGTATTGATGTGTATTCTGGCCAACAGAATGTAAGTTACCTTTCAGGAAAGGACTTTGCTATCAAAATGACTTACAGCTGAAAAATGTGAAGACTTGCAGCTCACATTTCAGCTTACTTGAATGTCAGTCACCCACCCTTATCCTTCCAACAATGGTGAAATAAGAGACCGCTAGGGGAGAAAATTCAGTTCCGGCTAATCCTTAAAAACAAACTAGTTGTCTGTTCGGGAGGCTGGGGCGGCTTTGGGGAGCAGGATAGCTGAGGAGTTGGAGGATATCATTATGAATACAAGACTGCAATATTCAGGCTGCTGTGTGTATGCATTTTGTTTTGCTGTGGCCTTTATCTTTTCTCAGTCTCAGAAATACTCTTGGATTTGTTGTCTGGAGTACTCTTTGGAATTCTACTGAACTTCTGCCTTTCTTTAACTTCAAGTTTAAAATCAGAGACTGTATCTAAAAAAAAAAAAAGGCAAATAGTAAACACCATGGCTTACTCATGTCTCCATCACCTTCAATAACTGTCATCCTAACATACTATGTCAACATAGATTTTTTTTTTTAGTACTTTATAGTGAAATAAAGCTATAAAAAATATTTTTTAACATAGCCAGAGATGCTGTATCCTTGGTCTTCAAGGAATAGCATGTGAGTCCAGAAAGAGCCTTGTGTCTTGTCTCTGGATACACTGTACTTTATACTTCTAGGCTATTTTTCCTGATACACCTCTGTATGGGGGTTTTTTAGTTGTTTGTTTGGGGTTTTTTAATGGCTAATTATAAAATAGAATGGAAGTATGCTTTTGTGTAACTGTGAGGTCAATGCTGAGGGAAAAGTTGGGCAATAGACATCCTTTTGTGCTATAGATGATTGTTCTCAAAGGGTGCTAGACAGCCAAAGAGGAGTGTCATCTTTGGTAAAGGTTTGGAAGATGCTTCCTTGTCCACATGCAGGAAGGAACTTTATTGCAACACTCCGTAACGCCCACGCCTCAAGCACTGACGAAGGAAAAACAACCGCATGCAAATGTTTGCATTGTTTGATTTGAGTTGTTTGACTTTTTCCTCTTTTTTTTTTTTTTTCTTTTCCCAAAGCAGGTTACTTGTGTGCTGTGGGGTAGAGAAAAAATGGGGGACTCAGATCATTAAAGAGCATTCTCAGAGATCTTTACTCTTCATTACTCTGCCATTTAAAATAAAAAAAAAAAGTCAGCAAGTTTAGAAAAAGAAAAAATTGAGCTTTGCTTGCTGAGCTGACCAGTTCTGTAATTCTGCTAGAACAGCTGCAGCAATGAAAATGAAAATAGGATGAGGAAGAAAGCTGTTGCCATTCAGGTTAACAGTTTTCATTGAAAGTAAAAGCCTGTGGTCTCTGCGCTGTTTTCATTTACCATTATGCCACACAAAATGGCATTAGTGTAACTGAGCACCAAAGTCCTGCCCTGGTGATGAGCGCTGCATTTCCATTTTGCTGACTGACTTACCCTGGGGACTTCACTTGTGACCAGCTTTGCTTGAGGCCAATTTTTTTTTTTTTTTTTTTATTATTACTTGTGTTAAGGTTACACCTAGAAGTTCAGCTGTAGTCACAAGCCAAACCCCTTTGTCTGAGTAGCACCTGGCGCACTGTGTAAAAGCTTTTCCCTACCCTGAGGTGTTATTTAACTTGGAGGAAGAAAATGACTCATTGAGTACCCACTAAAATAATATCAAAAGGGAGTTTCTGCTTTCCTGTAATCTAGCACTGATAGTTTGGTGCGGGCTATTGAAGTTTGTCTGAGTCCATTCTTTCAGAGCAGAAACTTTTAACTCCAGATAAAATTATCAAAGGTAGGTAGATGTAGGGCATCAGGCGGAGCTAGGATCCAGAACCAAGCAGGAGCCTTGCACCTGACAAATGAAAGGCTTCATGTGCCGGTCACTTACCTTTGGGAAAGCAAAGGAAAAGTTTATTTCGGGAAACTTGTTTTACCATGGAGTAAGAAAAAAAAGGGGGGAAAAAAGCAGTAAAAAGGAGCAATGAGACAACACGGGCAGTTTTGCTGTTCTTGCTGCAGTGATAAACCTAATTGCAAGGCAGCTGTGTCAAACCCTAGCCTCTGCCTGAAAACAGATGCTTAGGTTTGGCTCTGAAGATGAAGGGAAGGCATTGCCCTGCGTTACTGGAGGCGGTGTGGCCGGCCAGGGTGTAAGCGAGCAAAGAGGTACAACAAATCTACGCCAGGGAAAGCAGCTCGCAGGCGGACTTCGTCAACCTTGTTTTCATAGCTTTTGTGTCTTGTAAACAACTTGTGGCAGCTGCGTGTGATAAATCTCCGCACGGATGGGGGTGGCTTGTGGTATCCCACACGTCTCCCAGCTTCTGCCATGAGGTCAATGTACACGTCTATAAAACCGTTGAAGCTGTAACAGCTGGCCTCAACATGCTATGGGGGAGGGAAGGGGTGCAGGGAGAGCACAGCAGCGGGATAACTGGCTTCGGGAGGGCAGCAGAGCCGGCCTGCAAGCTCCCGGGCGGCCAGAGGGATGCTGCTGCCTGGGCCAGAGGGGTGCAGGCCATAACCTCACCAGAAAAGGGGGGGCAGGAGAAACTGGGGAGAGAGAGTGTGGGTGGTGGTAGGGAAGGATAATGGTTTTCCCCTTGGAAAGGAGGGAAGCCAGCAGCCGGATGCCTGGCTGGCAGAAGGTGCAGTGCAGCTGGGAGCCCAGGTGTGCCATGACCCTGTTAAGCCTGGCTTTTGTACCTATGGCATTTAGGCCGTTTGCAGTTTACTCTGTGCTGCCTGTCCAAAGCCTGGTTTTGTTCGTAGCTTTTTTCCCTCACAGCACTTACGCAGTTTTCTTGTTAATGCTTAAAACCTATTCCTGGAGTACTTCATAGTTCTTTTAAAGCTCATTTTGGTTTTCTTTTTTTTTTTTTCCTTCCTCTTCTTGGCATCTTGCAGTCATCGACTTCCCTCCTGGCTTTTGCCAAATAGGGATTATTGGCACGAATGCAGCGCATGTTCGCTTTTCAGGACTTCACTTGTTTTAAGTCTCTCGTTCGCCAGTTGCCAGAGTTGTTACGTCTCTTGCCCTGTTTCGCTGGTTCAGCGGGCTCTTCCCCCGTAAGCTGCAGTGTTCAGACTGAAGGAAAAGAGATTAGATTAGCCACTCTCTCTAGCAAAACGTCACTTAAAGCTGTTCCAGATGTAGTAATTGCATCCCCGCGTCCTGTATGCAGTTCGGTGTCTATTCCAGTCCCTATCAGGACAGTGAGTGCCTGCAGTTCTGCACACACGCAAAATCACACACAGGGACGCTGGCTGTACTACAAAGTCAAAACTCAGACTACCTTCTCCATCTAAATTTTGTATGC